CGCAGGATCAGCAGCGGCAGGACCTGCAGCAGCTCCGACGACGTGGGGCTGAAACTCAGCAGAGGGTTGAAGTACCGCGGGTACGCCAACAGCATCGTCAAGGGGAGGAGGATGCTCAGGGAACACGTGACCAGCAGCGGCAGGGCCCGCAGCAGCGCCACCTCCATGAGGCAGAAGCCCTGCAGGAGGCTGAAAAAAACAGAGAGTGCGCCAGCAGCATCGTCAGTTGGCGGAGGAAGCTCAGGGAGAGCGTGATCAGCAGCGGTAGGACCCTCAGCAGCACCATTGTAGGTAGAAGAACCCCGGCGTCCAGCAGGCCCAACGTCCCCACGCAGGCGAGGTTCAGGACCATGCTGTCCACAATCTTCATGCGATGGCCTCGACAAGTTGAGCGAGCGGTCGTAAATCTCAGGAGCGCTGCGACCAGCAGCTCGCTCAAGCCAAAGAGCTGTCGCTAGCGGCTGTGCAGGGACGTATTGTGGAAGGAGCTGAGATAGACGCCCGTGCTCGCAGGCGACAGCATCCTCGGATATCTCGCTCAGGTAGGAATGACTGCAAGCCGCGCCAAAGCGGCAGGCTGGATAGCATTTGCATGTAGGTCTCGTTGCAATCCGCGGCCCGACCTCCAAGACCTTCAGCCGAAAGAAGTCGAGAGCATCAGATGGATGCGAGTCGGCGCAGCGTCTCGATGATGTTCGGCAGCAACTTGGCGACCCACTGTCCCCAGACCAGGGGCGACGAAAGCGTCAGCAGCCAACGGAACTATAGTCTCGGCGTGAGCGTTGAGGGTGGTCACCAGCGGTTCAAGATGGGAGCGTAGGTCATGGCGATAGTATGAAGTCACGAACACAGGGAACGATAGCTTGAGACAGACTCTGTATGGCGTCGTCGCACTCGTTCCCAAGGGACGCAGGCCGAGCCTCAAGCTCGGCTTGCAGGCCTGGGGCTCGCTCAAGATCACGAGGGACGGGTTGAACAGCCAAATGTCCATGAAGGGCAGCAGTCGGAACCACTGAGCCTGGAGGATCTTCGTCGGTACCGGAAGGATCCGCACGAGGGCCGTGCAGAACCTCCCGTAGCCGTAGCCCACGAGGGCCAGCGCCAGAGCCTGGGCGGTCGTCCCGGGGAGCTGGAATAACGCCACCTGCTTCCCGAGGAGCACCGTCAGCACCTTGTTCCACGCGACCGGCGGCGTACGAGTCGCGATCAACATGGAGAGCGTTACCAGCGACAGGACAAAGGGTGCCAGAGATTTGCTCGAGGTCGTAGTCGAAGGCGTTGCTCTGCGTGACGTGGGCGGAGTCAAACCCAGTGGGGAGGGCGCCGCGTGCCGAGGGCCACCGCGCCCCCTGCGCAGACAGAGCGGAAGTGCATTGGTCCAGGGCCTCCCACGTTGCAGAACAGGAGGAAAGAGTGGCGATGGCCTTCTTCATCATTTCCATGCGCGCGAGAATGTTCGAGAACTGGTCGTCGCTGTCAACTGGAATATCAGCCCAACGTGGATGAGGTCCAGCAGCGCGGTCCTAATGGTCTCGCATGGCCGTGACCACCCGCAGGGCCCCCTAGACTAGCGAAATCTGGAGGGGCAGCCTGTGCAACATCAATGCGGTCCCGAACGCCGGCGCTGTCCTGTCGCCAAGAAGGTTGCCGTTCAGCTGGACCTTGAAGTGCTTTGCGACGGTGTTTGGCGGCGTCGGTCATCTCCAGCGTAGCGCGAACAGCCGCGTGGGCGGCAAGTGAGAGCACGCCGCGGCGGAGAGCACGATGTGCGGCCACTTTGCCAGAAGCCGCAGGGGTTATGCCGTGCGCGAGCTCATCTGCGTCGAGCGTGCAGTGGAGGGCTTTGCCACGGGCGATGCGCTTAAAACCAGCCCTATCAACCATACCTACCTCCACGAACGCCTTCCCAGAGGCACTATGGGAAGTGGCGTGCCAAACATCCCGCTCTCGGCGGCGGCGTTGAGCGGCAGTGAGCGAAGCCCCCGCGAAAGAGGCAGCCACCCATGATCTGCAGCTCGGCATAGATATACTGCGCGAAGCAGCGCCCACGCAAAGGTGTGGGGCGAGCAAGTAGAGAAGACAGGCTACTAGCATCCAACATACGTCGCCCTCCCAAATCATCCCGCTCGCGGGCGGGCGCGCTCAGCCACCAGGAGCCAGGGCAAGCTCGGTAGATCTCGGGCCAAAACGGCTACGGAGGAGGAGGAGGAGGCAAAGCGTCGAGATGCAGTTCGTCGTCATCGCCTACGCCTGCCTGCTATGCCTACGTCGCAAAACTCGGCTCCACTCCCCCATCGGAGTGTCGGCCGCGAATGCTGCCGCCTTCGCGGAATCCCGCGACTCGTCGGCGCTCGGACACCATCGACCACGACGTCTCCTCGCCTGATGGAGGAGACGGTGGAGGTGGACAAAAATCACCAGCCGTCGAAGTCTTGAGAGAGAGAGAGAGAGAGAGAGAGAGAGAGAGAGAGAGAGAAAGAGAAAGAGAGAGAGAGAGAGAGAGATATATAGAGAGAGAGAGAGAGAGAGAGAGAGAGAGAGAGAGAGAGAAAGAGAGAGAGAGAGAGAGAGAGAGAGAGAGAGAGAGAGAGAGAGAGAGAGAGAGAGAGAGAGAGGGGTCCAGGACTGCCAATCGGCGGGGCAGGGGCGGGTCAACGCCCGACCCCGACACAGACCCGACGAGGGAAAGGCATCCAGGGCATCGCGCGTAGTGGGAGAGGCAGTTGGGACACTCGCAGCCGAGAAGACACATGTGGTCAGGATTTCGCATGCGCGTGTCCGTGACCCACCCCCCCGACCGTGTCTTGAGGGCAACCATCCTCCAGGACGTGGGGCATTTCAGCAGGGCGCCCGCCGCCCCCTCCCAGTCCGCGCCAGCACGGACATCCTCTCCGACCTGGAATCAGCGCTGGAGCCGAGTGACAAGAAGCGGGATGAGCGAGGAAGCAGACGGGTAAAGAAGAGGAGTAATGCCAGCCTGGAGGCATCGCTGTGTCTTGAAGCGGGGGGAGGGCCTTCCTTCCGCCAGGGTCGCGCTCCGAGCCGCTCGACGAGCGTGCAAGAGGGCGAGGCCAGCGCGGGCGGGGGTGGCGGGGGGCCGAGCTCCACCGACGCCTCCGCCGCCAGTCGCAAGCTCCAGGCTAGAGGGGGCTCAGTCCAGAAGCTCGGCCACGGCCTGATGCCACCTCCCACCCCGACCCACTGCGCCATCGGAGGATGCTCCTCCGCCTCCGCCTCAAGCAACCGGCACAACGACCGCCGGACCGTTGTGGTCTCTAGCGCCGTGCGCATCCTGGCGGCCAGGGCTACAGTGCGCAGCGGCGGGAGAAAGGGGCCCCAGGGCGCGGGGAGGTCGAAAAAACATCTCGGAGAGAGCCAGGGCCCCAGGGCTCGAAATAGACGGGTCAGGGTATGCCGCTCGTCGGCCACCTCTTCCCTTGGAAGCTCGTGCAACTGACTTTTGTACAGCAAGACACTGACCGCGCGCTCGCGGTGCAGAACGCATCGGGCAGCCGTGTCCGCTCCAGCGCGCGAGATGGCGCTCGTGCGATCCTTGTACTCCTGCTCCACTGGCGCCCACTGTGCATGCGCGGTGGTCGAAGGGCCGATGATGCATCCGAGGTGCTCAAGTTCAGACACGACCCGAAACTGTCCCCACTCGCTCGAAGTGTCGCCCAAGAAGATCTGCGCACGTCGCTGGACCTCGGGCGAGATGGGGGCCCGCGGCGGCACGCAGAAACACTTGCTTGGCCAGAGATGCAGCTTCGCAGTCTTGCCAGACACATCGAAGACGCGGCGCAGAGTCTTGCGGCCAGGGGCTCCCCACACCACGGCACCGCAGTCGCCCGCGCACCATCTGGCGAGCCCCTCGTCGCAATCAGCGAGAGATGCGTCGAGGTCTCGGACGCAAGGGTCCACTCCCAACGCAAACGTGCTACCCGAGGGTGGGTCGCCTTGCATGGCTCCCCCTCTCGCGCATCATATGAAGGGGCGCGGCACGAGCAGCTGCTGTGCGCGGCGGCTTGCGCGCGTCCTCCGGGGCGCCTCAATCATGCCGCGAGGGGCCTTCCAGGCCTCAAGGGCCCGCCACAGCCAGGAGTGGGCCATGGAGGGGGGGGGCGCCTGGCCATGCTCGTGCGCGAGCAGCATGGGCGACGACGACTCGGGGGGGCAGCCTTCGGGGTCGATCGCACGCATGCGCCCGATTCGGGCCCCGGCATCGAGCTCGACCAGGTTCGACAAACAATTTCTGTCTCGGACAAAACCCCTCTGTGAGAGCGAGACCGTCGTTCTGATGCCACGGGCAAAACTGACATTGAACGCGCTCGAGATCGCCTTAGGCCCCGTCGATTTGAGGGAGAGGGGGCGAGCAGCACCAGGAGGACAGGAGCGGGGCGAACCGTCCGACGGGGCCTGCGATTTCGGGATGGACACTCCGATGGCCGCGTTAAAATCAGACCGCATCGGGAATCCTGCGCGAAGTCAAACCGAAGCACGATAAAGGATCTCAGCTCCCTGCCTCGCCACTCCCGGGCTGCGGCGGGCAGGCCATCGGGGCCGGGCGCCGCGGGCCTTGCGCGGGCCACAGCCTGGCGCAGCACGTGCGGGCCTGGCGGCGGGAGCTCATCCCGCTCAGGTGTAGGCGTGGCGAATCGCTCCAGGTACCTCTCCTGCATCTGCGCCTTCCTCCGCTCGGCAGTGGCGTCCCAGGTCGGAGCGCAGACGGGCGCCCAGTGGGCTGCCGGCGCCGCCGCCATGCCACCCTGCGTGGTAGCGGCGCCCTGGGGGAGGCCCCTGGCAGCAAGGTGTTGCCGTGCACCCCGCGGGGCCCGCAGCTGGGCGCGCCTCTGGAGTGCGCGGGCCTGCGCCTGCGTGCGCTTGCGCAGCTCCTCGGCCGACTCCGCCTCAGCCTCGGATTGCGCCTCGCACCTCCTGGCCGCCGCCTCTCGTCGCTGAGGCAGCGAATAGCGGCGCTCGAACCCCGCGGGGTCCTTGAGCACCGCGCGGTCGGGCTGACCTTGCGCCCCCAGCTCGATCGCATCGCTGGCCCATGGGTTCTGCGCCATCACAATGCGCGCCAGCTTGGCATCCTGGCGCCTGAACGCCCTCGCGAGCTGTCACCAGATCATGGCGTTCGGGCTCCTCGCGCCCCCGTCGGTTGCCAGCCGCTCGGCCTGCAGGAGCTCGGCTGCCGCCCGCAGGGTCGTGACGTGCGCGGCGTAGGCGTCGGGCGGCGCTAGTGGCTCCCAGCAGACCTCCTCGCAGTGGCGCTCCACGATCTCCTTGTAGCGCGGGAGCTTCGTCAGCTTCGTCGGGGTCGGCGCGGGGCCTCCGGCCGCCGGCCGCGGCGCCCGAGGGGTAATCGACGCGATCGGCATCGCGTGGTCGCTCGCGCCACTGATGTGGAGCTTCCTCGGCTCGCTGCGCGCCGAGGCAGCTTGCCACTGCTGGCAAAGAGCCCAGCGAGGCACGCTGACCAGGACTTTGTCAATCCTCGAGGCCTGGCGAAGGCCCTGATGCCAGTGCGTCGCGCGGCCAGGGGCCCGGTCGACTGCCGCGCGCGGCGCCTCCTCGCAGGCGCGCCGCGCAGGCGCCCGCGGGCCCGGAGGCGGGGCCGCAGGGGGAGGAACGCCAAACTCCTCCCGCTCGAGGACGTCGCCGTAGTTGGAGTCGCCGACGATGACCGCTGCTCGGGCCGCGGGAGCGGCGTGGGCCCACACTGGATCAGCGCGAATCTGCTGTAGAAGGCGGGCCCGCATCTCCGCCGTGAAGCCGAAGTTGCGCGCGTTCCAGCGGCGCAGCTCGGCGCCGGGCTGCGACGCCGCAACTCGGAGAGCACGACCAGGAATGACGTAATATGGAACATCGACGATGCGGCCCCCACCGGTCTGCGCAGGGGAGACAATGGCCGCGCCTCCCGCATCGGCCCGCGCGCCAATCGGGGCCGAAGCGAAGCGCTCAACATCGCGAGCAGCACGGCCAAGCAGCTGCTGCGTGGTCTCTGCGCCCGCATGCGTCTCCTGCGTTGCCAGGGCGACTGGCCCCCTCCAGTGCGTCTGCAGGTATCGCAACTTGCGCTCGATGATCTTCGGGGAATAGCTCGCAAAGGCCCGATCATTCCAAGAAGCAAAGTGCGCCGCCCCAGCACCGCCAGGCTGCGCGCCGCCCGAGCAGCGCGCCATATAGAGGCACCGCTCCTGAGCCTCGGGCTGGAGTGCCTTCGCCACTGCCTCCGCCACCTCGTCCTTGTTGAGATTGAACTTCCTGATGCAGGCCATGTTCCAGAGGATATTCGGGTGCGCGGTGGGCGACGCAATGTCCACCCGCGGCAGCTGCGTCCTCTGGGGCGAGAGCGCGGCCGCATCCTTCTCCATGAAGAGCTTGTGCGGCAGCGTCCTCTCAATGCCCTGCCTGATCTTCTTGGGCGCCAGCTCGTGGGTAACCTGTCGCCTGTTGCGGTCCTTGCCCGAGCTGAGGCTGACCTGCGCGCCAGTCGGAGCCGGCGCGTGCACCTCCCGCCGCTGGCCCTGGCCGAGCCGCATGAGCTGCGGCAGCTTGTTGACCCTCCTCTCGGCGAGCGTGGCCGCGCCCTTGCAGCGCAGCCAGAACCCCTGCGAGACCGCGTCGCTCTCCAGCCGCGCATGGTCGTGGAGCTGCGCCTCGGCGACCAGCGGTGCCAGGGTCTGCTCGACCGCCTGCTTGGGTAGCGCCGTCCTCGCAAAGACCCGTGACCACCGCGGGGTCAGGGTCCCTGTCCCAGTTGCCGCCGGTCTGTGGCACCGAGACACCCAAGTTGAGCACAACCAACTCATCCTTGAGCATTTGGATCTCCTGTTGCATTCGCTCGAGGTCGTCCATCCTCGCCTCGACGGGGGCGATGCGGTCCTCCATCGCCTGGAAGCGCGCGTCATTCTGCTTCGCCAAGTCGATGGCGGTGTCCTGAAAGGCCTGGGACATGCTCGCGCTCGCCGTTGCCACTGCTGTCTGCAGCGAGGCCTGCAGGCGCGCCTCCATGCCCTGTAAGCTGGCCTCGACAGAGTGTGGCACCCCGTCATGACCACGGGCAGCTGCGGGTGCCGCAGCTCCTGCCGCTCCAGCAGCGCCAGGCCTCGCAGGCGGGGCGCCCAGGGCACCAGCGTGTCCAGGATGCGCCGCAGGGGCCTGCTGGCGTGGTGCTGAGCGGCGGGCTCGCTCCGTGCCCGCAGGAGGCAGCCCCGCTCGTGTCGCTGCGGCCGCCCAAGCGTCAGGAGGGGCATTCGCCGCCGCGCCGACGTCCGCGGTCCTTCCCCTGTTCTTCATCCGAGAGGGGGGAAATCGGGACCTTCCCGGCGGTCCAGGCGGGCTCTTGCACAGAAGCGGCCTCCTGCTGCTGCCTCCACTGCTCTAGACCGTCATCGAGATCCACGGGGCCAGACCCAGGGCCAGCGGCCCGCGCAGGCCCGCGCCCGCTGAGTGACGTCGAGTGCTCCTCCGATGAGCCCGTGTCGTGCCTGTGGCGAGCAGTCCTGCGGCGACGTTCAGCGTGCGCCTCCCTGCCATCGTGGCCACCGCCAGGAGGGAGACCGCCAGCAGGCGCAGAGCCGTGGCCGCCCTTGTCAGCGCCCGCGGCGGGGGCAGGCACGGCCTCCTGCGAGGCGAAGGTGGGGCAGACGTCGATGGCAGCGGCGTCCTGGGACGAGAGTGGGTGCACGGAGGTGGCCGCCATGTCGCGGCGAGCTGGAGCGTTCGGACGGACAGGAACGGGGGGCGCCTCCGTTTACCCGCCGTCCCGAGCGCAAGGGAAGTCAGCGCGAGAAGTCGCCGGACTTCAAGAAGTCTTGCCTGCCGCGGACTAGCGGTATCCACTTCATTCCCAAGGGAAGCTAGCATCTTGAGCCAAAATGGCTACGGAGGAGGAGGGGGGGGAGGACGAGGAAGGCGGAGGATCGACGTTTTTTTGTGTGTGTGTGTGTGGTGGTGGGGGGGTATCGCGGCTGGATTCAACCTCGACGTTCTCGCCAAAACGCGCCCCAGGAGAGGTGGAGTGGCTGATCCTTTTGAAGATGAGGGAACCCAGCTCGACGTTGCGATTTTTCTCAAAATGTGGGCGCCTGGAGATGTCGACCACATACTCGGGACAGCGTTTTCGCCGTTGGGGGGGGCCAGGGCAACGGGCCTCTCATTTTTTCCGCGACGCCTGGAGGTCTGAGAGAAAGGTCAAAAACGGGAAGGGGGGGGGGGGGGGGGGGGGGCAAAATGCGCTTCTCATTTTCCACCCAGGCAGGCCGTATCCCCTGGAAGCCAGATCTCCACAACCGTGGGCCGCAGGGTTGCGCTAGAGCTATCAATCGCCTCTGCCAGATCATCTCAACCCCCTGCTTTGAACTCTCTGTGCTGGGGCCGCTGAGAGACTTAGCATGGGCGGCACGTGGGGGGATAGATCCGCCTCCGCCGTCTCTCCCTCCTCCTGCGCTGCCCTCTTTCCCCGTCTGCCGGTTGTTCTCCCCCTCCCTCTTCTTGCATGTGTGAAGGGCCTGTCCGTTCGAGTCGTCGTCTCCGTCATTCGTTAGTCGGCGTCTCTGTCGCCCGCTTTCCCTGCGCCCCCCATTCCCTGGGCCCTTCTCCTCAAGCGCTGGGCCCGTCGCCGCTCCCTCCTTCGCGAGGCCCTCCTCCTCGAGCGTGACAGCCGGAGCGACATTGAGCAACGTCGTAATTGACTCGAAGTGAAGCCCCTTCCCTTTGACCCCTTCCCCGCCGGGAGGGGGGGGTCCCCAAGAGGGTTCGGGGGGGGCGGGTTCCGGGCGGGTCCTGGGGGGTGGTGGTGGTCACCGGGTCAGATGCGACTCTCCCGGGGAGTACCGGGGGCAAAAAAAAACCAAGACGGGCCAAGAGTGCCCCAAGATGCTCCCAAAACGGTCTAAGAGGGCCCCGAATCGCCGAACGATCTGTCCAAGACGCCTTGACGGCACCCAGACGGCCTAAAAGCTCTGCAAGACGCCCCGAGAGGCCTTCAGGAGCACTCCCAAGAAGGCCCCAAGGGGAAAAAACATTGACTGCTCATCGGTTTTTGAAGCATTTCGGCGTTCTCGCCTCTTCCGCTTCTCAACGCTCCCAGACGGTCCAAGAGGCCCCCAGATCGCCCCAAGACGGCCCGCGAGAGGAATGATCCAAAACGGCCCAAAAGGGCCCCAAGACGCCTTCAAGGCGGCCCAAGACGACCCCAAGTTGGCTCCGACAGGGTGCCCAGACGAGGGGCCAGAACGGACATTTGAGAGAGCGCGCCCACAGGGTCCGAGCAAAGGGGGGGGGGGCTAAGCTTCAGCTACCCCCACCCATCCCTTGAACCGCCCTTGTTGGAAGCACCCCCCCCCCTCCGCGCTGTTTTTGCAGGGGGGGGGGGGGGGGGCTTGCAGCTGCCCCCCCTCCTCCCCCCTTGGGCCCCTCCCGGAAGCTACAACACCCCTCCCCCCCTTTCCAAGGAGGGGGTGGGGGTGCTTGAGCTAACCCCCCCCCTCCCTTGGCGCCGCCCCGCTGGAAGCTACCCCCCCCTCTCCCCTCCCTTTCGTGCAGAGGGGGGTGGGGGGCTTGGAAGCTGCGCCCCCCCCGCTCCTTTGGCCGACCCGGAAGCTACCCCCCCCATCCCCCCTCTCTTTCGTGCCTCTTGGGCCGTCTTGGGCCAACTTCGAGCCAACTTCGGCCGTCTTGGTGGGCTCCCGGCCCGTCTGACGCCGTCGGAAGCCGTTTGGTGGGCCTCCCTGGGCCGACTTGGGGCCCTCTTGTGGTGCCCCAGGGCCGTCTTGGATGCCATCTTGGCCGTCTTGGAGGCCTCTTGGGTCGTCTTTGTGCCCTCTTGGGGCCGTCTTGGGGGCCTCTTGGACAGTCCTAAGGCCATCTTGGAGGCCTCTTGGGTGATCTTGGGAGGTCTCGGGGGCCTGTTGGGCCGTCTTGGGTCGTCGGAAAGCCGAGAAGAAGCGAATGCGAAAATCCTTCAAAAACCGAAAGAAAATAAATGATTTTGGCCTTTTCGGGCCAGCTTCGAGCCAACTTCGGCCATCTTGGTGGGCTCCTGGCCCGTCTGACGCCGTCGGAAGCCGTTTGGTGGGCCTGTCTGGGCCGACTTGGGGCCCTCCTGGGGTGCCCTAGGGCCGTCTTGGCGGGCCAGCTTGGCCGTCTTGGAGGCCTCTTGGCCCATCTTGCGGCCCTCTTGGGGCCGTCTTGGGGGCCTCTTGGGCCGTCTCGGGCCATCTTGGAGGCCTCGTGGGCGATCTTGGGGCGATCTTGGGGGCCTCTTGGGCCGTCTTGAGCCGCCGGAATGCCGAGAAGAAGCAAATGACAAAATCCTTCAAACACATGAGGAAAACAAATGATTTTGGCCTCTTCGGGCCCTCCTGGAGGACCTCTTGGAGGCCTCTTGGGCCGTCTTGGAGGCCTCTTAGAGCCCTCTTCGACCGTCTTGGGCCATCTTGAGGCTATCTCAGACTGTCTTGAGTGCATCTTGGGCCGTCTTGGAGGCATCTTGGGGCCATCTTGGCCGTCTTGGAAGTATCTTGGAGGCCATCTTGAGCCGTCTTGGAAAATTTGTTGTGGACGTTGAGGTCGTTTGCGCGCCTGGAGTTCCCTCCCGGGACCCCGGCGGGACGGGCCGGAGCGCCAGGGGGAGTTCTTTTGGAAATTACCCTGGCGACGTACCCAACCCCTGCGCAATGCGGGGCATGAGTAGCTTGGGAGACGTTATACTGAGGTGATGACGTGACATGGGCGCATATACTTCTGCGAGCGGCATTCGTGGGGCTCGCAGCCCCCCAAGGATTGCGATGTCTCGCTCAGATCTGCCTGGTACCTCGCTCCGCTGAACCCGCCGCCAACCTTCGAAAGTTGCGACGGTTTCGCAGATCGCATCCCCCCGAGGACGGCGAGGCCACGCTCAGATCTGCGCGGTGCCTCACTCCGCTGGACCCATCAACAGCCCTCGAAAGCGGGGACAATTTCGCAGATCGCAGCCCCCCAGGCACGGCGAGGTCCCGCTCAGATCTGCGCGGTGCCTCACTCCGCAGGACCCACCAGCAGCCCTCCAAAGTGGCGACAGCTTCGCAGATCGCAGCCCCTCAGGGGCGGCAAGGTCCCGCTCAGATCTGCGCGGTGCCTCACTCCGCTGGACCAACCAGCAGCCCTCGAAAGTGGCGACGGTTTCGCAGATCGCAGCCCCCCAGGCACGGCGAGGTCCCGCTCAGATCTGCGCGGTGCCTCACTCCGCTGGACCCACCAGCAGCCCTCGAAAGTGGCGACAGTTTCGCAGATCGCAGCCCCCCCAGGCACGGCGAGGTCTTGCTCAGATCCGTCCGCGCGGTGCCTCACTCCGCAGGACCCACCAGCAGCCATCGAAAGTGGCGACGGTTTCGCAGATCGCAGCCCCCCAGGCACGGCGAGGTCTTGCTCAGATCCGCGCGGTGCCTCGCTTCGCAGGACCCACCAGCAGCTCTCGAAAGTGGCGATGGTTTCGCAGATCGCAGCCCCCCAGGCACGGCGAGGTCTTGCGCAGATCCGCGCGGTGCCTCACTCCGCAGGACCCACCAGCAGCCCTCGAAAATGGCGACAATTTCGCAGATCGCGCCCCCCCAGGCACGGCGAGGTCTTGCTCAGATCCGCGCGGTGCCTCACTCCGCAGGACCCATCAGCAGCCCTCGAAAGTGGCGACGGTTTCGCAGACCGCAGCCCACCAAGCATTGCGAGGTCTTACTCAGACCCGCGCGGCGCCTCACTCTGCAGGACCCACCAGCAGCCCTCGAACATGACGACGGTTTCGCAGATTGCAGCCCCCCAGGCACGGCGAGGTCTTGCTCAGATCCGCGCGGTGCCTCACTCCACAGGACCCACCAGCAGCCCTCGAAAGTGGCGTCAGTTTCGCAGACCGCAGCCCCCCAGGCACGGCGAGGTCTTGCTCCGCGCGGTGCCTCACTCCGCAGGACCCACCAGCAGCCCTCGAAAGTGGCGACAGTTTCGCAGATCGCAGCCCCCCAGGCACGGCTCAGATCCGCGCG